GATGAAAATGAGGTCAAACTATTTGCCAGCTTCTCCCTGCCTTTTCAATTTCTGGGGATGAATAGATTTTAAGAGCATGGGGGAGGGATGCATGAAGATCAAATTTCATTGATAAATGAAGTCACATCATCACTTCAAGAGAGGGCTGTGCCTAGAAATGGAAATGTCCAATGCCTCTGGCAGTGCTCCAAACTTAGAAACTGACAAGGGTGAGCCTGGGTTGCAGTCAGCAGCAAGAATCATAGCCTCATGGCAATACACAGATTAATAGAAATGTGTTAATAATTAAGAGAGAGCTAGCCATTGGCCAAACAGTTTAGAAAGTAATATAAGTCTTTGTGTATTAATTTGGGGATAATCGGCTGCAGGGCCAGGCAGAACAGAAACCTCTATCTACAGCTAGGAAACACCATCCTCTCGATGTGACCATTTGTTGGTGAACTCCTGACCTCATAGCAGCAGCCATGGTCACCTGTACAAGATCAAGTCAGTGAACATTCCAGCATGGATGAGGGAAGGGCTCAGTGAGTCCCCATCCTGGTTGAAGCTTGTCAGATGATCTTGCTGGGAAAGGGAAAGCCAGTTGTCTTCAGGGATGTAGCCCCTGTTCAGTTGCTTGTGTTCAGTGGATAGTTGTATATTCATTTGCATATGGACAGCACTAATTGGAATTAATGGGTTGTTAAAAAAGGATAGAAAAGGGGATGTGGGGAGGTGTCTGTCCATGAGGAACTGAACAGAGTAGATATGATCAAAATATACATGTGCATATAAAATACTCAAAGAATAAGTAAAAATGTTTTATTTTTAAAAAAGAATAATTACTTAAAAAAAGATTCAGTTGAAACCTTACAAGTAAAAATTAGCTCAAAAGTATCAGTTGATGAGTTAAGTAGCACCAGAAAGCCAGTGACTGATAATGATTTAAAAAGTCAAGCTGAGGAATTTTTTCTAAAGTCACATAAAAGAACAAGGTATTAACAAAAATTTGAGACCAATGCAGTTGAACCTGGAAATTTCAAAACCCAAATAATAAGGTATCTATAAGTCAGAAACAAACAAGCAAAAAAAAAAAAAAAAAACACCCAAAAAACAAAACAAAAAACAAAAAAACAGGAAACAAGAAAGGAACAGTTATGGCAGAGAATTTTTCTATAGTTGAAAAAATACAAAGGGATTCAGACTGAAGTCTACTGAATGCCTACAAGGGTATGTGTAAAAGAAAAATGTTTCAGGTCAGGTGTGGTGGTGCACCTCTAATCCCAGCACTTAGAAGGTAGAAGACGGAGAATTGGGGACAAGGTCATCTTCAGGTATGCTTTGAGTCAGTCTAGGCTCTATGAGATCCTATCCAAAGGAGAGAAAAAGGGAGGGAGGCATGGAAGGAGAACAAAAGGAAAAATGATTAATAACTAAGAAATTGGAAAATCAAAGATCCTTGCTTAGGCGTCCAGGTAAGTTGTCTATGCAATTGATTGAGATAGTGTTTGGGGTGGAAAGATCATGTATACATATTGCTCAATAGTAACCAAAAGACTGCAACTGGATGCAGGTACAACAGAGAACAAATTGTATTGATCTGAATCCACAAAGAATAAAACATGGTAAAGACATAATTGTGGTAGTTAGTTGTGCTTATATGACACTTATGATAGGACTGTCTAGAACAGATCTGTTTTCCTCTCTTATACAGGAGAGAGATAAAGACACATATGAGAAGCTAAAGGGATGGAGACACGGCTCGGCAGTTCTATTCTTGCAGAAGCCCTGAGTTCATTCCCAGCACCCATATTGCTCACAAGCATCTCACAACTTCTTGTAACTCAGCTCGA